TTCGCTGTTCGCTCAGGCCATGGGCGTTGTTGGGCACCTCTGGTGGAGGGACCACGTGCTTTTCGAAGAGAGAGTCCTTAGGAGAGAACGTCCGACGCTCGTCTTCTCCCGTACGGAGCGTGACACCATGTGGGGTGACACCGACACCATGAAAAACCTGTCTTAAGGGAGCGTTTGCTTTTTGTATATATCTTGTATTTAGTTGAATTCAAAACATGTGACTTCAACAAATATACGTTCTTGCTTTCACCACTCGCTTTGTTTTTAGTCTTCAAATGTCTTCAAATGTCTTCAGTACATTCGTATTATCGGTGCAAAAACGCGTCTGCCAGCAAGCGTTCCCAGCACTGGCGGAACATTCTGTGCTCCCGGGCGGACCAACGCCGGAGGCCGATTTCTTGCCTCAAAAGGACACGTCGTGGATGTTGGAATGCATCTTTCTTTTGAAAAGGGTCGGTCTGACGGTATGGCCATGTGTCACCTCTGACGAGGGAACGTGGATATGCTGAAAGTTAGGCCATCTGTCCAAAACTGTCTGATAACATATTCGAATGTTCCAATTTCGCTCCCGAATGCGCTGTTTCATTCAAGCGCTGTTAAACATGTCCAAACGGCTTCTATTTGGAATGTGGGATGATATGGGTGTGTATTTTAATAGGGAGATCCCCAACCGGTATACCGCTTGGGCTTCTTCGCCTTCCGCAACCGCTTTTCTTGTGGCATCCCCCCAAAAAGAATTGTCCAGGGGGTCTTGGGGAGGTCTCCCTGTTTTATTGACACACACACTGACATTGGTTTTCTCAGAACCCTTAGGGACAGGGTTTGACACACACACACACACACACGTCTTTTTTGTTCCCTGAGTTGAGTTGAAAAACAGTGGGACTCGATGAGACTTCTACCAGCCACTGGGACGACGATTGAGAACACGACAACATATGACATATGACAACGGTACAAGCGTTTCTTCAGCTGATGTCAAACGATGACAGGGCAAAAACCACCACGGAAATGCCAACCAACACAGGCCACAAACAAAGATAGCCTGGTCCTTTCCCATATTCCTTTTGGAGCAGTCGAGAAACCAATGCTCTACTCCCAGGTGATTCCAGGTCTCCCAACGCCCCCTGGACCACGCTCATGGTGGTGGCCAAGGCCAAGGCCGCCAGGACCTGTCAGGACAGAAATACGGAGGTCAGGAACGAGCAACTCGCCTGTCCGAACCTGCTTATGTTGTCTCTTTTGTATATGTTCTTGCTTGTGTAGCTGCTTGGATTAGCTTGCTGGAGGGATGACTCTGGGAATTGATCTTGCCTGTCAACTATGGGAGCCAAACTGAACTGTTCATGGAATCCAACGAGTCAGTTTTCTGTCCCACCAACCAGAAAAAAAAACATATTCAGTGGCGTCTTTGTTATGGCCCAGAACATGAAATCCAAGCATGCAAGTCGTCCATGTCTGACCTACCAAACGAGCAAGCTCTCACACTAGTGCAAAACCCAACCTTTTTCAATTTGGAGGACCGTCATGACCTTGAAGACTGGTGACAAGCTTCGATTCTTGGTGCGGACTCTTGGTGCTTCGAGTGTTGTTTGCCCAATGTGTCTGTGGTCTGTGGTCTTGTACAAGTGGCTTGCTACGCTTTGACCAACAAAATTGTTTCCGAGTCAAACAGGTCTATTTTGGTCATTACCGACCGTTTTTTCCTGTCAAAACCCATATATATATATATATATAAAGACACCCGAAAGCACTGGCCTCAACGCTCTTTACAAGTTGAGCCCCCACCAAAGCGCCCCACTGGCTGGCGCCCCCACCAGCCCAACCAGCTGTGCTGGGGATGCCTCCTGATGGTGTCGGGAAGGTGTGGACATCTTGAAAAGGGATCCGACCTCTGTTGTGAGACGGACGCTCCTTCTTTTCTTGGGGCAAACGGCCCCCATGTTTTAGGAGAAGAACGTCGCCGGGGAGCGTTTTTGCTTTTTGGTTCGCTGGTGGCAAATGGAATGAAGTGGATCAGGACCTGCATTAGCACTGCAAGTATCAAACTGCAAAGACCCCGGATCTTGCTCCAGTCCGCAGTCCTTCACAGGCGGCGGTGCCTTCTTCACTTCCTTGCTGGGTTCCTGGAATCACCCGAAACTTGATACCCAGGTCGCAAAGGATGAAACAACATGAAAAAACGACTGGTAGGGGCATGACTCTACCCCCCGAGGGTTCATGGTTTGAGGAAATTCCATCCCCCGTGGAAAAAGTTGCTCCAAAACTCAGCGGATCCAAAGGTGCGAAGTTCATGAGAGTTCTAAGTTTTCCTATGACACAAGTGGTGGGACGACCACTGGTCGCGGGTGACGTCTTCGGAACGACCAGTGGTGACGTCTTCCCTGGTCGACCGCTGATGGGACTAGCCAATCTGCAAAGTCATGAAAGATTAGGTGCATTATCATACCACAACCCTTGCAGCATCCAATGATATTCAGGCTCAATTTCATATATAGTTGTGATCATTACGATGTTCAGCTCCATGACTAGGATGCGTTTCAGTTTCTGTTTGATGCTTTGTTATTTTTTTCAATGGTTTGTACCGTATGTTTTTGTTATTTGTGTTCATTTGGCTCATGTTTTTTTTGGTCTGTGCCCTGCGATGCTTCGAAGCCGGCTCGCCGATCTACGCTTCCGCTCGGCGCCTGGCCTCCGCAGGTTCACTTTCCGGCTCCGCCATCGCCTGACAAATGGAGCCTCTGGGTCTTGGGTCTAAAGGTTAACCTAGACACTGGCCAGAACGCTGAAACAAATTGAAACAATATCTTTGAGCAATCAACTGGTAAATTTCTTTAAAAGCATGTCAGTATAGAAATGTATGTATGTATATATGTATATATTACAAATAGTACTATAAATAGTAATGTACTATATATGTGTTTATACATATATCATATATATCATATACTAGTAGCATGTGAAAGTGATTTGTTCTTTTCACATCCATATTTGTGATTTCTTTTGGACATGTTTGTTTGGCAGAGTAGCAGCCAGATTCTGGGCCGTGCACTTGATAGATAGACCATGATAGACCAATACCTTGTGGAGCAAATTTGGCCGAGTGTCATGTAGCCTGTTGATCAATTATACCACAGTCTACCTTTCCCTTGCCCTTCAGCTTGGAACTCCCACGAAGTCCAACCAGCACCCCGCGAGGAGCAGGTGAGAAATCGGCAAACCAAGCCAATGGCGCTGCGGTTTTTTTGAGATTTGAAGTCCTCATCGACATGCGGAAGTCTTACAGCTCAAAAAGATCGTCGGACACATGACAAAGATAACCACTGGTCAAACAACGGAATCGACGAAGCGACTAAGTCCTTTAATCTGGGGGCCTTGGTGATTTTTTGTGATACAAACTCGGAGCATCACTGGCTCTCATCCAATACTAGCTCCATGATGTGACCGACCGGCGTTTTTAGCGTTTTTAGGCAAAGCACGGCGTTGGCCAACTTCGGTGGTTGAATCTGCTTCGGCGGACTTCGCACGTCTCGACCCCCGAGAAAGGAACAAGTCGCTTTGGCTTGGTTTCCTAAAGAAAACATGGCTTCGATGCAAGGACCTTCAAAGTGACCGTCCTTGAGATCCAAGAATCAGGGTAATTACTGCGTTTCGTCAAGAATCCAGAGAGGTGAGGTTTGTTAGTGCCCGAAAAGGAAACTTAGAGACTCCAAAGAGGCCACTTTGAAGGTCCTGGTGATTGTTTGGGCCTGACATGTCATGTTTAGAAAATAACCACATATTGAGTTAGCAATCAAGTATGTGGTGTGTGCCCTTTGTATCAAAACTTCTGGGTGAGGTGAAACTTCAAATTCTTGTTTCCCTTTACAATATACTATTCACTTTCTTAACATAGAAACATCGCATGCGCAAACAAAACCCCTTTGCCAGCTTGACTTTTTGGGGAATTCGAGCAAGACTCAAAACGACAATGTCTAGGGTGGGTCCAGCCCGATCGAGTCCGAGTCCGGCTTCTGCGTTTCTCCGGCGTCGAGGTCAGCACCGACGGGTCATGACGGGTCTTTCAACTCGGCACAAACAGCGCTGGGATCCTGACCGTCTGACCGTCTGAGACGGTTTTCGATTGAAAGACAAAGAGGTGGTGGCAATCATTCACCTCACATGACTCACAATACAAATACATAGTTCAATTCTTTGCCCCTGTCCAACTGTGAATTAGGATCACTAGATCTGTTGAGATCAGGAAAATCAAGGGATCCATCTGATTCGATTGGATTTCTGTTGCGGGCTGTTTTCTGCAAGATGAGTGATTGCCGTCATGCAACCTACCATTTTCGAGGGATCCGCTCCAACGCATGTCAGGGTGCTTCACGGCGTCCACGGCCAAACGGCCAAGGGTTTTGGCACCCTTACGGCACTAGTAAGGCACCTGTTACTACTAGCGAGGCACCTGTTACTACTAGCGTGGCACCTGTTACTACTTGAAGTCGGAAATGCCAATGACCAAAAGAAACATCTGGACAACATCACCAAATAAGGCCATCAACATGAAGAAACACCTGCTCGTGGCCAAGATTCCTCCTTTGATCATGTTTTGTGTGTTTTATTCCGGAAAACGTGGGGGTGGATGGTTTGCGCTGGCCTTAGATGACCTTCGGACCTGAGACAAATAGAGGAATGACAAAAAACGTGGTTTAGGAAACACATGGGCGTCCTGTGCACCGTGTTTGTCATGTGCCATCTGTATCGTGGTTTCGTGAAACGGTGCACTCCTGATTCTTTGCGACATTGGATTCCTCAAAACACGTCAGTTTGTTGACATCCCGCCACCAAGGACAGGACATCATCTCTTGTAGATGACAGATTGTATACACATCTTCCTGAAACATATGCTTGGTGAGCAGGAATGACCAAACCAACCGACCATTCAAATTGATGCATTGACGCTTTGGATTGATTGCTGCGTGGAGGTGGACATGTCCAACATGTCGATTTTGTTGCGAATACCTAAGACCAGTGCAACATAGATAGATCTAACAAACTATATTGGCTGAGAATCATACTGCGAGAATGAATATAGTTGTCCAAGTCCAAACTCCTCCTTGCAACCCTTCGACGTGACGCTTGTTTTCTAGCCAACTCTGAATCAGCAGCAAAGTCACCTGCAAGAGACAACTTTTTTGATCCGTCCTGCCCCCCCCCCCTTAGGGGGGCCATAAATGGCCATCAATCGTGGACCGGATTGGCAAACACATGGTCGGCGAGCAAAAGGCACACCATTGCTGCACGTCTTCATTCAACTTCATCTCCATACCGTTCTCCTACACACCTTCAAACACCTTGATACCGTGGTTCATCTTTTTCCGTGCAAAACGCATTGACGTCTTCGGGTCGGGTCAGTTCAGGTGTTCAGCTTCTTCCTCCACAGCATGACCCACCGGGTGCGACTCCTGAGACAGCTTTGCTCAGCCCAACATGTGTGCTCATTGTATTTGTAATATGTATATATATACACATGTATATATATATATGTAATATAGATCTAATATATGTACAAGGAGATGCAAACAAATTATAACAAATTATCTGACATGAACCCGCACCAAGAATAATCACAGCAACATGGAGCATACCCTGATACAACATAGGGGTCACTCAGGTTCTGGGTGTTGTGTACACTCTCCTCTCATCAAACGTGCTCCGACCGAACCCGAGTGTGAATGTTTTGCTTCACGCCCAGGTTCCAGGTCGCGGCTGTCGATGCTGCCACTGGCGCCGCAGGAATCACCACTCAAGGGACTCGAATCGGATTCTGCATCCCTGCGGGTTTCACCTGACGCTCTGGGAAAAAAAACACTTGGATTTTCTGAGATTACTGTTTTTGGAGATGTCTAACCAAAGCACTGCTTCACTCAAACACCTGTTGTTTGTAGTTTGTAGCACTTTTCATCACTTTTCAATGAAGAGTTGAAGCACTTGTTGTTGCTTTGAAACTTTGAACACGTTTTTAAGATTTCTCCGCATGTTGGAACAATTTGGAATGGTTGTATGGCCTTTGTTCCAGCTTTGGACCATCAAATTCCATCATTGTCAATGCACAGGCCAGGAAGGTTCTCATCCATCAGGCCATATCAGGGCTAAAGTGTGTGAACATGTGTGCACTTCACTTCTGCAATTTGACGGAGGTCAAACAAGCGCGTTTTGTTTGCGCAGCATCCCCAGTTAAACTGACACCCGCGATTTGCGGGCAAATTCCGGCAAAATGGTTGCAAACTTATTTAAACAATGTTGGTATGAGTTTCCATTTGCTTGCAGCAATGGCCTGGGCATGTGAGGGATTTGCTGAAGGTTCAGCAGCTCCTATAGAGACACGTTGGTTTGGCGTCAGCCGAGCAGCGTTAAGTCCTACAAGTGGCCTGAGAGAAACAACAGCTATAGAGAGGGAGTTCCTTCTTTACCTGGCTCCGAGTTAGCAGCCGGGAAGGACATACTGTATTCTTTCACAATTTGTGGTTCTTTGAGGTTTTGTAGCGCTGTTTGTTTCTGTAAAAGTATTTCCTGTATCGTACGAAGGTTTATATACATATGAGTAGCAAGTGGAGCTGAAATTGTCAAAAACATATTGTTTTCTTGGAACGACACTCTCTAAACCAATATTTTGCCGTAGTCTTCTGGAACTTCTTCTGGATAGGTTTTGTGAGAGCCAAGAAAAACAAAGTGCAAACACACAAGCACACTCTGACACTCTGACACTTGTATTCAGCGACTCAATTTCCACGATGGGAAGGATGGCGGTGGAACGGCATGGTGATTGGGTCAGATCACTTGAAATGTTTAACGTAGTTTCTCTCGTTCTGCTGAACAAACGCTGCACATCTGCGGACGATCGGCGGCTCAGCTGCTGGGGAAGAGTGGGTTTGTGGGAGGTATCATGAATCACCATGGAAACAAAAAAGGAAGATTGGACAGCGTGATCAACAGTTGTAAGTGCAGGTACAGGAATGTGCGTCCACATTCCCTTCCGGCTGAATCCCATAGCTTCGTTGGCATGGCTAGGGAAACAGCTGCCATGCCCCCTGCTCATGTAAAGTGGTTGTCCAAGGTAGGTGAAAAGCATGGAAAGAGTGGTGGCGGAAGACCCTTTGTCCAGGGGTGGACACACACAAGTCGCCGCGTTCGGCGCTTTTTTCAAAAACCGGTGGCAGGCGTGATAGTTATGCCCCTTTTGGACATATAGATTCACGAGTTCAGCCGCAGCAGCGTCAGCGCTGGAGGGTGGAAATGTGTATTTTCGAATGGTGTGAAGTCGTGATTGGAGGCCTGATAGAGCCAAGCGCTGGCTCCCGGCAGTGGTGGAATCCCGGATTTTCCAGGGTTGAGAGGGTTGCATGTAGGTGATGGTGCGTTGTGGGAGGTCGATGTTGAAACCGAGGAGATGAAAGTCCTCCACCGGTTCTAGTTCCACAGGGTCGCCAAAGAAATTGTGGTGGATGAGGGTTTGGATAGCCGGGTGTTGAAGGAAATGTTCGTTGTGGACAATGAAACGGTTGTCGACATAGCGATAGTAAGTAAAGTGGAGGTCTGTGTGTTGGAGGAGGTTGTTGTGGATCTGATGCCAGGAATGCTCAATGAGGGTGATGGCAACGTTGCATAGGGCTGGAGAGAGCTGGGATCCAATCCCGGCCCCTCGGATTTGTTTGTAGGTATTGTTGCAGGCCCGGAAAATGCATGTGTTGAGGGCAAAAGCCACGATGGTGGTAATGTCGGAAGTCTGGATGGTGCGTTGGGTGGGGTGTTTGCGATGGTGTCTGCCAATGTGTGAGTGGTGGAAAGGATTGCCGGTGGCCTGGACATCCACCGTCAAGGTGTGTGGGTTGCTGTTGTTGCCAGTGGTGGACAAGGGAGTGAACTGCATCGATGAGTCGGTGCTGTGGGACTGAGTTGAAGGAGCCGACCAGGTCATCGTTGGTGGCGTGTAGTGAGATGTCTGGTGGGGTTTGGGTGAGGTAGCTGTGAAAGTGGTGCCAAAGCTGGGGAATGGACATTTGGCCGGGATGTTGAGGGTAGAGGTGTTGGAGGATGATGTCAAGGGCACGGCTGGTAATGCGAAGCAGGTTGCCACTGAGTGATTGAAAGTATGAAATAATTGTACGGCCTTTTTGCCAGTGCTTCTTCTCCTTGAGGTGGACAACGCCGTAGGGAATGTTGAAGTCTTTTCGGAAGCCCCACTTGTAGCGAGTGCGCAAAATGGGGGGGACAGTGGCGGCCAGGTGGTCGTGGATATTGGCGGCAGTGATGTAGGGAAGTGGTTCGAAAAGTTCGGGGGATTGCCAGGTATTCAAGGCGCCAGTGAAATATTGGCGAGGGCAAAACAGCCGGAGTTGTTGGAGCTCATGGTCGGCATGGTGGAGTAATGTGTGTTTGCCAAGATGTTCTTGGAGTTGGCGAAGCAGGCGAGCCGTAAAACGGGGTTGCTGCTTGAGGTGTGTGTTGTGGAGGCGCCATTGGTGCTCAAGGAATGGCTGCAAATGCTGAGCGAGGGATGGTGGAAGCCCTTGTAGTTTGAGCCATTTTGTGTAGGCCGTCTTGAATTTGAGGAAGTATCGGGCCTTGCTTGGGTAGTAGGTGCTGTTCATATTGGCGTTGAGAAAAAATGCCGAGGTGTGTAGGGAGTTGGAGTTGATCCAGTGTAAGAATGTAGTGGCCGTTGATGGTGGGGGTATCGGGATCCTGCAAGAGGGTGCGAAGGTGATCGCATGCGCAGGGGAGGTCTGCTGGATCTGGCGGGGAGTGGAGGGTGTCCTCCCATGTGCGGTGGTTATGCAGGTGGGAACGGAGGGTTTTGTGTGCGGCTTCTCTCAGTCTGTGGGAGGGGAGGTGGAGGGGGATGGTGAAATGCTTGTGCTGCTGGATGGTGGTACGAAGCCATTGCTGGCAGTGCTTAGTGAAGTCGTCGTGGGCCAAGAAGGGCACTGTCAATGGAATATTTGGTTTTGGCGGTGTGAGGTTGCGGTAGATCAGGGCTTTGTTGAGGATGTGGAGAGCTCGGCTGCGGCCAGGTTCTTCCAGGTTTGCGGCCATTCGCCGGATTGCATAGACTTCGAGGTCGGTGTGGCGGCCGCTTCGTAGCTCTTTGGCTGCTTCAAAGGAGGCTGCGGTGTGTTTGGTAAGGTTGCGAAGAAGTTGGAGGGCGTGATGCTTGGTGGAGGTGTATAGGTGTGGTTCTCTGAGAGTGTACTGGCGTTGCCGAAGGCGTCTGAAAAGTCGTTTGTGGGTGGCCAATCTGGAGTAGAAGTGGGCTCTGTGTTTTGTGAATTGCCAGCCCTGAGCTTTGAGCTTGAGGTGGTGGGAAATGAAAGGCCAGTTGAGGGAAGGCATCCAGTTAGCGATGTAGTGGTGCTCTTGGATCCAGGCCTGGTCATGTGTGTCATGGGAGGTAAGTTGAATGGTGGTGTAGTGGTGGATGTTGTTGTGTGAATGCCAATAACGTAAGGAGAGTTCTGCAGAAATGGGAATGTTGTTTTGGAGTTGTTTGAGTTTGGCGCGGCGATTGTGCTCGCGATGGGGGATGCCAATAGCTGTGGAGCCAACATAGAAGTGGCCATGTTGATGGTAGCAGCGTTGGGGCTGGTCGGGATTGAAGTGGAGTTTGATGTAGACTGAATTGGAGGAGAGGAAGTTGTGGTAGTGGTAGGTGTGGGGCAAAATGTGGAGCTGGCGGAGACGGTTGCGCCATTGTTGTGAGCGACGGGTGTTGGAAGGGTATGCAAAAAGGAGGGTGATGTGGATAAGGCCGGTTGCAAAAATGGCCTCGGCACGGTCGATGTATTGGGTGCGGTGAATGAGCATAGAGAGTGCTCGGTGCAAGTGGAAGAGTTGGGTGAGGTTGGTGTGGCTGGGTTGCTGCTGGGCAAGGATGGCGAGTCAGCAACCGATGGCTGCTCCAACACCCACCAGCTGTTGTAGGCTGCGAATGGGGAGTCGGTTGACTCGGTTGAGGGGTAGGCCATACTTTGTGGCTGCTTCTTTTAGCTGCTGCGTGGTGACTTTGCTTGTTTGCAGCAGACGGACGACGTCCTTGGCAGCGTCTTGGACGGTGGGGTCGAAAGTAGTGACCCATTGTTGGATCTCTGGGTGGTTCCAGCCTTCGGGGATATCGTCTTGCAGTGTGGGGTGTGGTGGTTGCAAGACGTCGGTGAGGGCTGGTGGTTTTGGTGGTGGTGGAGTGGGTGCATGGGATGGGGCGGCTGGTGCGGAGGGTCGGCTGGTGCTCTTGACTGGTGTGAGTGGGTTGCCCAGGTCTTGGAGTTTCTGACGTGCACGAGCCAGTTCGTCGTTGGTGTTTTTGAGGGCGCGTAGAGCGGTGCCTTCCGCAGGTGCTGGAGAGTGGGTTTGCAGTTGGTCGATAAGTAGTTTGATGAGGGGAGCGTGAAACGCTCGGGCATGGGTGGTTTTGTTGGGAATGTCTGTGCTCTGTTGGGTGTGGAGGGCCTCCGCGATGCCGTCAAGGTCAAGGCGCTTCTCACGGAGTTGTTGGAGAAAGTGGGTCACGAAAACCGACTCCGCTATGCTTCTGGTGGCAATAAAACCTGTGTATTTGCCGTTGCTCAGTGTACGGGCGGTGAACTCAGAGGTGCCGTGGTACGCCAGTTGCCACGGGAAAACCTCAAAGGTGGGGAGTCCTGCCACGCCTGCTTTTCGAGACCACTGGGTGGGTTGGATTGTACGATGTAGTTGGTGGCCGTGCAGCGTGTTGGAGTCCCAATGTTGCTCGGTTGGGTTCCACGAGTCGGGAATAGGTGGTGTGGGGGATGGGATGTGTGGGGGTGGTGG